TATATATAATGTAAATTCTGTTTCTCTATATATGTGTAGATAGATTAGCTAGATAGATGTTTTTTTCATGCCATGACATACAGAGTAACAGTGAGCAGATCATTTAATTACTAAGTGAGGTATTGAAGCCAGAAACTAAATGCTTTTTCTAAACTGCAACCATCAATTCCTGTATTTTCTTGCCAGTGCTACTCAGTTCAGTGCTATTATCATAAATGTTGCTGCATCTGAAGCCCCTGTTTCCATAACTGTTTCTCCATTACCAGCTGGATGGTACCATAATGTGAATGAGAGGCTTTATACAAGTTAAAGAAAAAAAAATGAAGCAAACAAAAACTGCTTATTTCTAAACTGAAAAGAAAAACTAGCTATTTCTAAACTTGATCTTCAACCTTTTTATGAAGGTCAAGTTCCTGGATGACATATTATCCTCGTGAACACTGGGACATGATTCTCCTTTTATAAACAAATCAGCAATCAACCTACCTTCTTCCTTGTCTACTGTGAATTAGGGTCAACAAAAATGTATAAAACTTTCCTTAATAGCCAAGCTCCTGCTTGTTAAGGTTGTAAAGAAAGGTGGTACAAGACTTTCCTAGCCAAAAGGATGGCCGTAATACATTGCCCTGAGTGTGAAAGGGCAAAGTGGAAGACAGCAACAACAAAAACTGGGTTCTCCCCATTTTCATTCATCTTGCCTTAATTTTTTACATGAGATTATTTTCCCCTAAAATGCTGTATGTCACAGTGAGTTAAGATGAGTTAGTACCAGCCCATTTAAAAAGTTGGAGCCATTCCAAAGAAAACAGTTCAGTGATTGAAGCTCACCAGCTGCTCCTTGGAAACCCTACATAGGGTCTTTATGAGTCAGACAGAACTGACTCAATGGCACTTAACAACAACAGAAACATTGCCGTTTTCTCCAAAAAATCCTTTAATGACTAATGGTGTTGGAAGCCCACTTAGCCACAGCAGTTTGCACAGCAGCTGTATTGCTGTCTGTTTTGAACAACATACCACAGAGGAATAAAGGAGAAAAAGAACATACCAGTGGTGAACAAGGGAGCACAACTACCCTTCACCTTGTTCTACTCTGATCATTTGGTATAAAACTGTTGAGAGCAAATCACAAGATTGCTCCTTATAACAAGGGGCACGAATCCCACTCTTGTGACAGCATTATACCACTTCAGCTTCCCAGCAGCCTTATGTACATTCTCTCAACTTGTCTGCTATAGAGTGGGTGCATTCCTGTGGTGTCCAGTAGCCATATTTCAACAGGTTAAATTATAAACAGTTGTCATCATTAACAACCTGAGATACGTAGAAAACATATCCTTGCTTGCTGGAAGTGAACAAGACTTGAAAACCTTACTGATGAAGATCAGAGATCACAGCCTTCAGTATAGATTGCACCTCAGTATAAAGAAAATGAAAATCGCCACAACTAGACTAATAAATAGCATCATGATAAATGGAGAAAGATTGCAGTTTTCAAAGATTTCATTTTGTTTGGATCCACAATCAGTGCTCATGGAAGCAGCAGTGAAAAATGCAAAAGGCATATTGCATTTTGCAAATCTACTGCAAAAGACCTGTTTAGAGCAAAGATGTCTGACTCACAGCAACCCTGTATAGGATTTCCAAGGAGTGGCTGGTGGGTTTGAACTGCCAACCTTATAGTTAGCTTACCCTACAGCACTATACTTAGTATGAGAAATGTAAAAAAAGAAATCCTGCTGCTTCTATTTGGTGGTGGTGGTTGTGTGCCACCGAGTCAGTTCTGACTCATAGTGAGCCTGTACAGGGTTTCCAAGGCTGGAAATCTTTACAGGAGCAAAAAGCTTCATCTTTCTCCTGCAGAACGGCTAGTAGTTTCGAACTGCTGACCTTGAGGTCATCAGCCCAACTTACAACCACTACGCTACCAGAGCTCCTTCTGCTACCACTTAACTCAGCTCATGTTCTGAAGGAATAAGGTCCTCTGACTTGCCAGCCTAGGTCATGACCCACTTTTGTGGTACTAGAGGTTAGCTTCCTTGATGGAAAGTGTCACCGAAATCACCTGGAGAGGAGGGACAGAAAGTTCTCAGAGAGAAGGGATTTACACAGACAAAAACCAAAACAAAATACAAAAAAACAGGTGTCCACTTATACTCTTGATGCAGTCTGGACAGAGGGTCAGTATGGAAGAACAGCAGAGGATTTCTGTAGTTTAAATGCCACTCGTAGGAGTTCTTTTAATTTAGCCATCCCAAATCAAATATTGCCCTTGGTGTCAGCTTTGTTGTCCTTGGTGTCAATTTTGTTGGCGAATTTGGAACAAACTGAAAACACCATTTTTAAATTACAGTAATTCTACTTCAAAGTTCAGGGGACAGACTGAAATGTTTTCTACTTACATTTTTCTCAGATGAGTAATTTGAATTTGGATACATAAGAGAGCCATAGTACATATACTATAGTAATTTTTATCTAAGGTGTTTGTTCATAAGACCAAGACGATGCTGGAGGCGTAATAGCAGTTTTCTTTTATGGTTGCTAGACCCCACTACCTGCTCTTTCTGCTTCACTGCACTGTTAAATGGAGTCCTGGTGTGGTGCTGTAGGATAAGCGCTGAACTGTTAACCACAAGGTTGGCAGTTCAAATCCATCAGCTGCTCCTTGGAAGCCCTATTATAGGGTCTATATGAGTCACAACTGACTCGACAGCACTTAACAACACCAACAACACTATTAAATAATGTAACTCATTACAAAGGACCTCAGCTATAAGAGAGAGCCTCCTTATGCCAGGAGTAATGGAGCAAACCAGCCATATAAATACTGTAAGATCACATAGGGACATAATAGTGGTTTTTTCAAAGTTAAGGAAAGTTGGATTGAAATCACAATTTAGTGAAACCAGCTGGGATTAAACACTTGTTTTGGGCTTTTGGTACCCACTCCTTCTTCTTCTGATAACAGTATCCTGGTATTTCCTTTGGAAGCTAGCCTTTCTGTTTTTAGTCTGGTCCTATTGGTATTATCAGTAAAAGTGCCCCAACTTTCCTCTTGCTAAGTAGTAAGCAAGAGATCTAAGTCGGGCTGGTTAGCTATTCTCTTTATGGAACTGACTCAGTGGCACTTTACAACAAACAACAACAGCACATTAATTACCAAAACCCAAACAGGTTTCTGTACCTTATAAAAACCTGGTATGCCAACCAAAAACTCCTTTAAAAAACACTGGCATGCACCTTAACTTTATTAATATAACACTGACTCTAGGAGGCTTAGGAAGCCAAAGACAGCTCTTCTACAAGACACAGAGCAAGAGCTACCTCTTATTCTTAATCCTAAGAAAGCATGTCTTGAGGGCATTACTTGCTAGTTCTCAGTAGCCATCTTAGCCATGGTCTCAAAAGGCCGTTGTCTCCAGGCACTTCTGTTATCTGCCCGCTCCCCTGAAGTTTCAGTGTTTTGTCTGCCCACTTCTGACATACACCGACATGACACTGCCACCCACTGTGTTAATGCCTCCTGCTATATCTAGTGGAACACTTTCTAAAACATTTGCATTTGCCTTTTGGGGATATATTGCATCTCTGTAAGTTATAACTTCCTTTCAGGTAGCACAGCATAAGCTATATCAATCACAAAGTCAGGCAAATACTAATATTAGCCTGTGCTGCTGTAGATATTTCTTGCCAGTTATCATCCACATTCTGACTCAACCCAGCCCTCTTTAGGTTTGTGAGATCTAATAAGATCATAGCACAGGGTGGTATAGCTGCAGGCAGAAAAGTCTGCTTGCCAAATATATTTTGTTTTATAGCAAGTTCATAAATTAATGTAAGACACAGAGACACCAAAAACTGTCTGTATACCTGCATTAATACAGAACTCTCTTCAGTTGTCTCTTTTCCCTTCCAGCCACTAAGTTCTCTGAAATAGTGCCAAATTCTTGGTCAGATGTAGCTTCAGTGGTTCCCACCCTTTCAGCGTAAAAGGATAATTAATACGACTTTATAGCTAAGGTGATGTTCCCCTTCCGTTAACAACATTCATTATTCCAGGGTGTTTTTATTTGGTTATAAAAATTGACTCTGAGGGTGGAACTTGGTTTGGGGAGATTACTTTAGAAGCAAATTGTTTGTTTCTAATTTGTTCTTTGACAAAAAAAAAAAAAGAAAGAAAGAAAGAAAGAAATGTTATGTTACTTTTGAGGTGTATAAGTACTGGGCCAAATTTCTAAAATTTTGATATGATTTTAGATTTTACTTGAGTCAGATTCATTCTTTGTTATCTCAAGGAAAAGGGGGACAGCCCAGGGCATCTCAGCAAGCTTCGGTTTTCCAAGGACCAGAGCTCTCTCCCGCATCTCCTCAGTTGGAATCAGGTTTTGTTTTGGTTTTTTTGTAGTATATTTAAATGTGCATTTTACTTTCTTGTAGATCTGCTGGATGAGAACCACAGAAAAGATGAAGAAATGGAATCTCTGCAGGTAAAATAGATTCTGAAATAGGGCGAGTATCTTTAGGATAAAATCTTTATGTTATCCTTTATTTTATTTTTGTCACATCCAATGAACAATGGCAATGGGGTGGCCATTGAGAGTGTCACTCTTCAAAGCTCAGGTAGGAATTTTCTGCCCCTTCTAGTGTTTGACAGCACTTACAGTCTCCCTAAAGCAGGAAGCCAGCAAAGCTTCTATACGACTTTTAAATGGAACCTGTATTCCATGGTGTAGTTTAATAGGAGCTGCGACATTAGGGAATGAGCAACAACCTCTCAAAACCATCTCTCCCAAAACAGCTGTGATGTCAAAGGGTGAATTCATGGAATTTCCATTTTTCAAGTGAAAATCACACTTATTCTGATACCGTGAATGTTGTCTATCAGAGACTGCATGAGTAATTTCTTTTGGAAAGATCAGTATAAGCTTGGTCCCTATGAGGTGGAGGTTAAAGGTATCCCAGATGGCCACCTTTTCCACCAACTTCTACTGCTTTGTAATGCTTGATATCAATCACCACTCCTCCCTTCCCTCACATCACAGGGTTCTGCAGTATGCTGCAACATCTCACCGAACTCACAACTGCTAAAGGAAATGGCTCACACAGTTGTGGACCCTGGCAAGTCCCAACACCATAGTTCAGAGGTCAGCCAAGAGTATTCTCCTTAGTCATGTAGTCTCAGGAACTGAGGAAACCAAAGTGGCAGATCAAACGACAGACTGTTGATGCACAAGGCTGTGGGAGCTGGTGAAGCAGATCAGGTGACGGGCCAAAAGTTTCATAAACTGGAGTTCAGACATAATGAGCCCGATGCAAGATCCAGGGCAAGAAAGTGAACTGTGCCAAAGTAGTCCTATAAATTGGATTCAGATTGTACCCCCAAGGAAAACTAAGGGTGGTCATGTAAGTCACACCCTGTAGTAAAATGGGAGCATCTTTAATCCTTAGTTCTTGTTAAGCCTTACTCCCTAGCCCCACCTTAAACCTTACTCTTTAGTTCCACCTTAATTAACAACTCAGTTCAAAATGGGTCCATAATCACAGGCATGGAGGCTAGGATTTACAGGGCATCACAGAATGGAGAAATATGGCCAGAGGGGTCATGATAAATAATTAGTTCCCTTGCAGTGAACAACCAAAAATGTGAACACATACATGGAATATAAGAAATAACCTTGTTGTTGTTGTTGTTAGGTGTCACTGAGTCATTTCTGACTCACAGTGACCCTATGCACAACAGAACGAAACACTGCCCGCACTTGTGCCACCTTCACAATTGTTATCTTTGAGCACATTGTTGTTGGCACTTTGTCAATCCATTTACTGGGGGATCTTCCTCTTTTTCATTGCCCCTCCACTTTTCTAAGCATGATGTTCTTCTCTGGGGATTGGTGCCTCCTCATAATATGTCCAAAGTTGTTGTTGTTGTTGTTGTTAAGTGCCGTCGAGTCGGTTCCGACCCATAGCGACCCTGTACAGGGTTTCCGAGGGTGTAAATCCGCGGGAGAAAAATGTCCAAAGTACCATAGACAAAGTCTGGCCATCATTACTCTAGCATTCTGGATGTGCTTCTTCAAGACAGATTTGCTTGTTCTTCATCGATAGATACAAATTTCTTGAACTGGAAAATTGTGTTTGAAAGATTCCACTAGAATTTAATTGGCATTTCCATGGTATGAGCACTTGGTTTTAAGTTGACATCTGACAGAGAAGTTCTGTCCTCCTTTTACATGGAACTATCTTACAAATGGATAACTCTAGTGTCTATCTTTATTAGAGGAAACATAATCAGTTATACTCACATGACAGAACCAATTCACTTAATGTCACATTGGGGATTAAGAACAGTAAACACTCTGGACATTTAGAGTTCTTTGTAAGCCTGGAGCTCCAAGGCAGGACTGGAGAGTAATATAACGAGCTGGCTTGAGTGTCTTCGTGGTAACGATGTTTGCTTCTGGTGAAGATATTACAAATGAAAGATGAGTCAAGCAAAGAGCCCAAAGAGCAAGGGAAATGTTCTATGACTGGGGAATTCATTTTGATGCTGTTTCCATTAAAAGGAAAAATCATGCTGAGAAAACATATAATTCTATATTCCAAATACAACTGGGACTTGTTTGCCACAATATTGTGCAGATTTAATTCCTCTAGCATCTTGAGACATATTTAGGCATAAAATGAAAGAGTCTTAGCTCCTCCATTCTAAGGCAGGGAAGACCTAACTGAGAAATTAACATATGCAGTCCATATTCCTATACAAAGCAAAGCTCTGCATGCATTAAGTGTCTCTCAAGAAGGTAGTGTATGTCAAGAAGGTAATAAAGGCCTTTTGAGTCATTTTGGCTATGTCTTGTGTTTGCCATTAGCCCCAGAATACTACATATAAGCATATTTATTGAGTACATATCTGTCCTTTTGAAATGGGCCTCAAATCTGTTTGCATTTATTTTTCTCTCAATACAAATGTTGGAACCAGTAATCCTATTAAATTTAATAGCCTATGTTGCTTCTCAAATGCCTATTAAATACTGGCAGCATTTTCTACTAAAATGCCCATCCAATGCAGTAGGATGTGCCAGCCAACTAGCTATGGACATTTATAGATGTAGACTATCCATTATGATAGCCAATAGCAGAAGAGCTCAATGTTGGCGCTTTGTCCTATCAATTAGTGTCTGCTGCTAGCACTCCACTAAGAACAAAGAGGGAGCACTTCTGCGTGTACTTCTCAGAGGACAATAGCTGATGCAGAGGAGTATTACTGAAAGTCTTGAATTATAGACACTAAAGGAAACTCCTGGTATAGCATTATAGAATAAGCTCTGGACTGCTAACCACAAGGTCAGAGGTTCAAACGCAGCAGCAGCAACTTGGAAACCCTCCCTATCCAGGGTCGCTGTGAGTAGGAACTGACTCCGTGACACTTAACAACAGCAACATCAGAAGGAAAATCCATGTAAAAGTGCCTAGATTACATTCAAATATGAATAGTTTAGAGAAGAGATAGTTTGGAGAAGAATATTAAAATACACTGGTGGCAATCTGATAGTCACACCATAGAACTTGGGAGGAAAAGATGCAGATATTTGCGGGGGGATGGGACAAAACAAAACAAAAACAGTCATAGCGCTAAGAATTAGAAGTTGACAACTTGGATTTTTTGAAGTCCTGATTCTGCCACTGATTCACTGGGTAACCTTGGGCAACTCAATTAACTTTCCTGTGCCTATTGTCTCATCTGCAATAAAAAATCATAAAACTGTCTTCCAGAAGTGTTTAGTGGGGATCAGATTATCCCAGAAGAGAGAACTAAATATTTAATTCCAATTTACAATGTTAGCAAATCCCCATGTATCCAAATTGGAGTCAATTTTATTTACTCATTATCATCTTATAATTATGTATAACTGTCATTCTACATTTATTGTTATCCTTCTTAAGGGCAAGGGGGTGTTTTATTTAGCTCTAAACCCTTCAGCATCTCCTGTACAAAAAAGATAATCCATTTACCCATTGAACAAATATTTTGAGCATCAATTGTGTTACAATGAGACACTTGTTATGAATTGAATTATGGCCTCCCAATATATGTGTTTTAATTTCTAACCTCCATGCCTGGGGTTGGAATCATGGTGTGGCCCCATAGGATAAGCATTGGACTGCTAACCATAAGGTCTATGATTCACATCCACCACCTGTTCCTTGGAAACCCTATATTGTGCCTGTGGTTATAATCCCACCTGGGAATGGGTTATCTTTGTTCTGTTAACTAGGCAGGACTGACATAGAGTATGTGTTCAGTCAATCTTGGAGACATAAGGAATCCTGGTGTGGCGCTGTGGGTTAATGCACTGGACTGCAAGGTTGGTTTGAACTGCAAGGTCAGCAGTCCAAGCTCACCAGCTGCTCCTTGGAAACGCTATATAGGGTCGCTATTAGTTGGTGTGCCTGACCCAAGCCATGGTATTTTTAGTAACCTCATATGCATGTGAAAGCTGGACAGTAAACAAGGAAGACCGTAGATGAATTGATGCATTTGAGTTATGGTGTTGGAGGAGAATATTGAAAGTGCCATGGGCTGCCAAAAGAACCAATAGATACGTCTTGGAAGAAGTGCAGCCAGAGTG